CTGAAGCCTTTTACCTCACCTCTCCCCCTGCGCACTCACTCGGCAGTTGCTGCACTGCTCATTCTAGTTTCTGTCGCTTCGCTCTTCTTTCCGCTCTGCGTGCGTGCCGTCAATTCTGCGCTGTCGGCCGATGTGCTCGGGCACGGGCAGTTCGAGCGCCGCCGCAGTTCTCGGCCGGCGACGCCGTGCAAAAGTCCCGTCATCGACACTTCGTACAGCACGACGGCGGCCCTGGGGCTGTAGTGCTTTGTACTTTCATGCCGGGGCGCGGGGCGCGGCGGCGCCCTCCTCGCTGGCGTCGCGGTAGGCCTTGACGGCGCGGGCCCAGCCGGGGCAGGCGCGCAGGCGGTCGAGGGCGAGGCCGCCGGGGCGCAGGACGACGGGGGGGTCGCAGAGGCCGTCGACGACGGTGCTCTCGACGCCGACGGCGCAGGGGCCGGCGTCGAGGATGAGCTCGATGCGGCCGGCGAGGTCGTCGAGGACGTGGCGCGCGGCGGTGGGCGAGGGCTTGGTCGAGGCGTTGGCCGAGGGGGCGGCGAGGGGCGTGTCGGCGAGGGCAATGAGGGAGAGGGCCAGGGGCGAGGCGGGCATGCGGACGGCGAAGGTCGGCAGGCCGGCTGTGACTTCGGGGGCCAGGGGCGAGGGCGAGGGCAGGGGCAGCAGGATGGTCAGGGGCCCCGGCCAGAAGCGCTCGAGGAGGGGCTTGTAGATGGCGGGGATGGGGTCCTCGACGGCGGCGGCGTCTGCGGCGTCTGGTGCGTCTGATGCTTCGGACGGCGGCGCGCCTGATGCGTCGGACGGCGCCGCGGGGGCCAGGAAGCGGCGCAGCATGGTGAGGTCGCTGACGTGGATGATGAGGGGGTTGTCGGAGGGCCGGCCCTTGGCGGCGTAGATGCCCTTGACGGCGGCGGAGCGGGTGGCGTCGGCGCCGAGGCCGTAGACGGTCTCCGTGGGGAAGGCGACGGGGGTGTCGTTTGTGCGCAGGTAGGCGGCCGCTTCACGCAGTTCGGCCGTGGCCACGGGGTCGGAGGCCACCTGCCATCGGCCGAGCCTCTCGCCGCCTGGTTCGAAGTGGCCGAGCTCTTTGCTCTTGACCTTGACGATCCGCGTTTCCATGGTGAGAGGTCTCTTGTGTGGGGTGTGCGTGTGAGTAGTATGGGTATGCGAGAGGGCTGCGAGGGCTGTGAGGGCTGTGCGCCAGCGGCTGCTTACACGAGGCGAGGTGATGAGAGCCAACGTGAGGTGGGCGCTGCGGCGAGGCTGCGGCGAGGCTGCGGCGAGGCTGCGATTGTTTGGTGTAGGGTTTACTATTTTCAAGGGCCCTGAATGATGTGTGAGGGCAAGATTGTGGTCACAGCGTGTGGGTGTGTGCTGGGGACGTTGTTGATGAGATTGTTCGCCCAGGACATGACATGTTGATGGGTTGATGAATGCCTTGGGTTGAGTCACGGACAAGTTTTTCTGCCGGCGCCAAATTTCGACATGGCTGCGACGACCAGCCAAAGTGACGGCCGAGCATGGTCAATGGAGACAAGGTGCATGGACCGTTTACATGACGACGAAAAACCACGTTTGAAGACTTTTACCTCTTGACCTCAGTTCGTTGACTGCCTACCTAGGTCAGTAGGTGGTGATGCTGAAGCAAGTAGGATGCTGAAGCAAGTAAGATGCTGAAGCTGTTGGTGGTATTCGCTTGGGGCTTCCAGTGGCATTCACCTGATGCCAGGTGGCCTGTGCCCTGGCACCTCCCATAGCTTAGTTCCAGGCACCCTCCTGCCCTAGAGAATAGCTTCCCAATACACACACCTTTCTTCTCAGACCCTTGACCTCCAACAGAAGCAAGTATGCTGATCGATATCTGCGCCAACAAGTGTGGTGGATTGACCTCACCCATCACATGTTCGATCAAAGTCAAAACGACCCTTTGCGCCAGCATCATGGCCGACTTTGCGCCAGCATGGCCGACTGAAAGCTTGATGAATTGCCCTCGCATCTGTCTTCTGCGCCTTCAACAAGGTATGGGCGTTTTGGAGCATCATGCCAGTAAAGAATGTCATCAGTCGGATTCTCGCGGCTTCTCGCATCTTCTCCAGCTTGCTGGGTTCACCTTACACACACACCTGACAGATGTGACAGATGTGACCCGCCATGGCAGCGCAATCTTGGAATTCGCCGTCGCAGAGACCCTCTTCTTCGGGCTGCGGGCTGCCTCGCTGACAGAACAAGCCTCCTTGGGCGCAGCGGAGACTCGGGCCTCGGGTTGCGCCGACGACACATCAAGATATGGTCGCTGACGACCGACGAACGGGATGACAAAGCGGCAAATAGGCCGATCCCGCCCCTGGTCTCCGTGGCCTTGGACGCCATCGCTTCTCTCTCTCTCTCTCGCTCTCTCGCTCTCGGTCTCACTCTCTTTGTTCGAGTGTCTTGCCGCACTCGTTCCCGCTAGCCCTAGCTTGCTGAAAACTCGATTGCGCTGCGGAGTCCCGGCGCCATAGGAATGCCACCCAAGATGAGAAACCCAAGCCAGGCCAGAGCCAGATGGATCATGAAAAATCAACTGCCATGACAAACGCCTCGTACATGGTACATGTACATGTAGCTTCGGCATTTGGCGCCCCACGCAGGCCCCGGACCCCGAGACCAGGACATAGGACATGGCCCAGTCTGTTCCTGTTTCGTTGGCCGTCTCGGACTTGGGGCGTAGCTTGACCACCGCGGCATGGCGCCATGCGCACTCGCAACCGAACCCTGGCCATGGCCCATCATACTAGGCGCCCTCGAGGCGACGTACCATGTACATGTATGCCTCGCTAGTCATCGCGTACCGGGAGCGTGCGCAAGCAGACCAGGGTCCCCGAACGTCAAACTCCGCGTGGTGTTCTCGTGGTGTTCTCGTCCAAGTCCTTGCGCTGAGATAGACACTGGTGATGCCCGGCGTACATAAATGCCACTGGCCCCCGTGCTCGAGAGTCCTGTCTCTCTCATCGCCAGCAACAAGGAACACTGAGAACAAACTCTCATCGCCAGCAACAAGTAACACTGAGAACAAACTCCTCCAAACGCCACCCTCGTCACCCTCATCACCCTCATCACCCTCATCACCTCATCACCCTCATCACCCTCATCACCTCATCACCCTCATCACCATGGTCTCCTTCAACCCCGACAAGGACATCCCCGACCTCTCCGGCCGCGTCATCCTCGTGACCGGCGGCAACATCGGCATCGGCAAGGAGACGGTCTTGCAGCTGAGCAAGCACAAGCCGGCACGCATCTACCTCGCGGCGCGCACCGAGTCCAAGGCCCAGGCCGCCATTGACGAGATCCGCAAGACGGTGCCCAACGCGGCGCCCATCTCCTTCCTGAGCCTCGACCTCACCTCGTTCGACAGCATCAAGAAGGCCGCCGCCGAGTTCCTGTCCAAGGAGGACAGGCTCGACATTCTCATCAACAACGCCGGCATCATGGCGACGCCCAACGGCACCACCAAGGAGGGCTACGAGATCCAGTTCGGCACCAACCACGTCGGCCACGCCCTCCTCACCAACCTCCTGCTGCCCACCCTCAAGCGCACCGCCGCCGCCACGTCGCCGCCGCGCGACGTCCGCATCGTCAACATCTCGTCGCTCCTCGAGAACACGGCCCCGCCCACCAACCCCTACGACTTTGCCAAGCTCAAGACCGAGTACGCCTCCGTCAGCCCCTTCACGCGCTACGGCATCTCCAAGCTCGCCAACGTCCACCACGCCAGCGCCCTCGCCCGCCGCCACCCCGACCTCAAGGTCGTCTCCCTGCACCCGGGCGTCGTGCGCACCAACCTCGCCGCCTCGGGCCCCGGCGCCAAGTGGCCCATCTTCAAGCCCGTCCTGTCCGTCCTCGGCCTCTTCCTGACCAGCGTCGCCACCGGCACCAAGAACAGCCTCTGGGCCGCCACGAGCCCCGACGTCCAGTCCGGCGCCTTCTACTACCCCGTCGGCCTGTCCGTCAAGGACACCAAGGCCAGCAAGAACGCCAGGGACAAGGACCTCGAGGACCAGCTCTGGGAGTGGACCGAGAAGGAGCTCGCGTCGCACGTCTAGCCTGGCTTGTCTGACCCTTTTTTTTTTTTCTTTTCTTGTTTTCTTTCACGTCTTTTCTCATGCTGCTCTCATGATATCCCGTGGCGTCTGTTTCGGGACCTTGGATCCCCATGTGCGAGGCGTTGGAGATCATTAGATAATACCACTAATCACCGAATGCATCCTTTTCATCCCTATCCGTTTCATGCATGTGTTTGCCATCGAGGCTTGGTCATTTCAGTGCCCCGGGGGAATGGTCCGCATGAATCTGCCAATTGCATAACTAAACCGTCCAACCGAAATACAAACCACTCATTCCCATGCAGCATTGTGGTCCTTCAAGAGTACCATCCGACATGCAGGTGGGTGACATGCACCAGACCTCCAGAGAAACGCTCAGTCCCTTCGTTCCCAAGGTCGCACAAACCCTGGGCACATGCCTCGGCCCCGCAGCAGTCGAGTCGGCGATTCGGATTACATGATCAGTCCGCTTTCCAGCCGCCCCAGCCCGGCCTCATTCGAGCTACCAAGTCCTCATCACGGAGGGTTTCACATGCATGATTCAGCACGCGGCACCGAACCTTTTTTTTTTTCCCCTCGAAAACCCTCCGATGGTAGAATGCAACGTTTAGTCAAGGCGGGCCGAGCGAATAGCCGTCCTCGGCGGCGAGTGTCCATGAGGGATGGCCCGGAGGATTCCGTCAAGCTGCCCTCTTCTTGATTTTCCCCAAGTCCCCGACCTGGTACGGAAGAGTTGCTGCATAGAATGCCGGCCAGGCCACAATGTGCCGCGTGCAGGGAGGCGGCAGCTCGATAGTCTGGCGCTGTCGAGGGGAACAAGAAAAGCCACACGCCTTGAGGTGAGCTCACTTTGACCGTGCCACCATACTGTACATCGGCTCAAAACGAATACAAGTCGCCATGCCCTGGAAGTGTCGCCGATTACCTAGTATGGGGATCTTCAGAGCATGAGATGCAAGGTATTGAGAGGGTTACGAAGTTCGGAGTCACTCGGTTAATACCTGTATTGGGCGGATGGGGAGTATGGCTTAATCTCTTACATATACCCCCTTGGCTGTGTCCGTGGGGATTCGAATCGAAGAACACCCATGTTTGTAATCTCCACAAACTTGAATGACGCTGCGTTCGTCAGGTCTGCGGACTTGGATGGCAGAGGAGCGGACCTTGGCCCTCCTGACATTCTGACCGCAACCTCACGAGCAGGCAAAATCGCGACGGCTCATCAAGCTCAGCGTCTGTGGTTCAGGGCGACAGGCGACGGTCACACGGGCGGGGACGAGAGCCAACGGGCGACAGACAAGCTCGTCATGACTTATGGCCTTGCTTTTCTCTAACGCTCGTGCATGCCACGCAGAATCAAACACGGAGGCGGTCATCCCTCTCGGATGAGGTTTCTCGCCCGCCGCCTCTCCTCCTCGGTCAACACCCAGATCATGCCGTCCTCGTCGTCGTCGCCCGCGGCCGCCACCTCGCGCCACTCCTCGTCCTCCATGTTGGCCACCATGAGAATCTGCGAGGACCGCGCAAAGAGCTCCCGCACGCCGTAGTTGCCCCTGGCCACGGTGCCGACGATGCTCGAAAAGTCGCGCTCCATGCGGATGACGCCAAAGGCACTGGCGCGGCTCTTCCACGCCCGCTGCTCGAGGACCCTCGCGAGGTACCGCGCCGTAATGTCGTGCACCGTCGTGAACGTGTGCGGCGTCATGAGGCGCGCGACGGGCTTCATGAGCTGGTCCCAGCCGTGCTCGAACCGGCGCGGCACCTGCTCGAGGACCTGCTCCTCGCTCTCGCCCACCTGCTCCGCGTACTCGGCGAGCTCGTCCTCCGTGAACGAGTAGTCCGTGTCGCGGAACGTGTCGCTGAAGACGGGCCGCAGCCGGGGCTTGACGACCTGGTTGAAGAGCACCTGGAGGCCTTCGTTCATGAGCTCGGTCGTCTTGGCGGTGAAGTTGGCGAGCAGCGTCTCGAGGCTGGATGCCACAAGGCTGGCGTCCCGCTCAAACGGAAACGACTCGTGGAGGGAGCCCTCGCCTGTCGTGCCGCCGGCAGCCTCGGAGCCGCCCGTCTTGCTGTGGATGATGCGCGTGAGGTACTCGTTGGCCGTGTCGAGACTGTTGATGAGCACGATGAACTGGATGATCTTGTCCTCTGGCGGGAAACCACCGGAGACGAGCGGTTTGGGGAACGACTCGTCGCGCATCTTGCGCTGGACCATGCCGACAAAATCGGCAGTGAGTACGCGTTCGATGGCCGACACCACCGATGTGACGACGCCTCTTTGCAATGTGGACACGGACTTTTGGATAACGGCGCTGACAACGTACATGACGTCGTCCACCGCCGATATGATGTTGGGCGAATTCGTGTCAATCGGCCTGCTCAGGTTGAGGGACAGGCCCGCAGGTTGCTCGTCCAGCTGGAAGGCCTTCTCGACCGACCGCCTGAAGAAAAAGGTCATCATGGTATTGTAGGGCGTCGTCAGCTTGTCTGCCACTTTTCGGTTGAGGTTGGACTTTGTGAGCAAGTCGGGCATCACGAGGTCGGCGGCCTCGGGGGTTTCAGGGTCCTAGAAGCACAGTCAGTCACAGTCGCAAGATGCAAAACCACACGTAGACGTACCCTGGCCTTGCCAGCCAAGAAGCGGGCGTACAATGACCATCGCCCGAGCATGACGGCAATCTCGCTGAGCACGCCGTCGACCTCCTTCATGTTGACGCCCTCGTCCTCGCTCTGCCGCTGGTTCGTAGATCCCATGCCCGTCGCTGGCGAGTTGACCCGCGGCGTCCCGCCTCGTTGCGGCGGCAGGAAGCTCTGCACGAGGAACGAAAAGGGGTAACTCTTGACATCCTTGATCCGCCGCACGACGTCGCGCTCGTCAGCCCACGAATCCAGAATGATGCCGCCCTGGACATCGGCCTCCTGCTGCAGCCTCTCAATGACGCGGACCATCTTGCCCGAGCCGTAGTGCCTCTCGACGAGCCCGCCGTGCCCGTCGACGATCCTCGCAATGTGGTCAAACAGCCTCGTCAGCGCGTTGGCGTAGAAGAAGCCATCCCTCTTGGCCGACGCGCCGGGCCCCTCCTTCAACACGGAGCGCGCCGTGCCGGCGACGCCCTGGCAGACGTAGCGGCCGTAGACGTCGAGGCCGACGTCGGTCCTGCCGATGAGGGGGAACAGCTTGAAGAAGCGCGTGACCCTGGCGCCGTCGGCCTCGGCCGCGGCCCTCTCAAACTCGTGCAGGAACAGGCCGCAGAGGCTGGCGCGGTCGTCTCTC